TTTTTCCTTAAATTTTCCTGAACTGAATAAGTCAGCCTCTTGACTATGAGGATCCTAAGCTGACAACATAGTAGCTCCCATTGGCCCTGACTTGTGGAACTGGTGCCATCTGATTGGCACAGGAGCCTAGGTGCTCAGCTTCCCTCCTCCATGGAACGAGACTCCGATTTGAGCTTCACGAACTCTCGGGCCACTTCATCATTGCTCCTCTGAGATAGAATCCGGAGAATGGTCATGCCTGTCTCATCCATGTGGATCTTCGGGCCCAAGGGGCACCAGCAGGCACAGCTGCCCTTGGCTGCCACATCCCTCAGAGGCATCACAGCTAGCCCTAGAACACGATCTTCCCGGGCAAAGCAGTAATCCTTCACACATATTTGCAACTCATAGGCTTCTGGGCCTTCTTCATTTCCCAGGAGGCTGTGAGCACAGGGTAGATGGAAGGTAGGAGACCAGAGCTGAGGGCATCCTCAACTGAATTCACCCCAGCCACCATCCAGCCCATCCTTTCTCTCCCCTCTCAATTCTTACACCCAGGTCACCCCCATCCCAGAGTCCTGCAAGTCCCCACCCCATAACTTACAAGTGAAAGGTCTCATTGTACTTGGGAGCCCAGTTGTTGCTTTTTGACTTGGTTGTGAACTTCCTCTTTTTATCACTTTGATGAGGGCCAACCATGGTTACTTCCACAAAGGGCCGGAACATACCTGCTGTCTGCCACTTGAGGTCATTGGCAGCCACCACTGCACAAACAAGGGAAACCTGTGAGGATCCAATCAAGCATTCCCAGTTCTTCAGCCCCAGGTGGGGGGCATTCCCCTTGAAGGAGAGCTAAGCTGAAGGGCTGAGATAAGCAGGCCCTGCCTTTGACTGATGGGGCCACTGGGCAAGAAAAGGCCTGAGATCTGTAAGTCCATACCACTCACCTTTCACTGTGACCTTGTGCTCCCCAGTTCCAGGATGTGTAAACAGGTCCACCTGAATAGAGACTTCTCCCACAGGATCATCCACACCAGACCCTGAGGGACAGATGGACAGATGATCCCCCTCTGGAGAACTTTTAAGACTTTAGGCCTGATTATTCCAGGTGAAACTGGAATTGGGAAGCTACTATCCTATACCCTAAAGCAAGAAGCAATCACCCACAGTAGCAATGGGAAACTAAGCAATGGGAAAAGGGGGAAAAATGGCTAAAGAATGAGGCTATGTATTAAAATACAAGTTAGGCTGACAACATCTTAGGTGAAACTTCTTCTAAAAATGCACCAGGAAACCATCAGTTTCCCCAAACCTCTCCTATCCCCTAGGCTGAAGAATTTTTCATTGAAAGATGTTGGGAAAGGATAGTACCGCCACCCTGTATCTTTAAGAACTACGTCCTCAGTGGAACAATGTGGGTCTTATCTGGCCAAAAGCAGCCGGAGGCCCCTGCTTGGGAGGCTGCCCTGCACAGAAAGACTTTGTCTTACTCAAGCCTGGACTTCTACACAAACAGCTCCCCAGTCCCTCTGGTCAATTTGCATCCTTCCCTTAGTAGAGGCCTCATTCTGTTTTGGGAAAACACCAGTAGCCTGAACCCCAGATATAACCTCTTTGTCCTAAGATGGAGGAGTGGAGGAATTCTGAGGACAGAACTGAGTCAGACTGTATGAATACACTGCCCATCTCCGAGACTTGGGATAGAGCTTCTGAACTTTGACACTCGGTTCCCCCAGCCCCAACATAGGCGGCTCATTCTAATTCACAGGGGACAGTGTTAGCCCATGTTAGATTCACACCTGCACGGTGTATAACGTACCCTTTTCCGGCTGAATGTCCTCATTAGCAGTAAACCTAATACCTTTCCCATCATGCACTGAGTGAGGACAGGCCAGTCAAGAGGCAGTAGCAGCATTAGGATAGAGAAAGAAGAATCAGTTAGATGTCTAAGGAGTTAACAGCCATTCAGAGCAGCTCTACACATATTTTGAGGGAGCACAGAGATAGGGTAGGGTGGAGAGAGAAGTCAAAGAACTGGGGTCAGTGCCTGAATGCTCTAAATTATACTTAACAGTTTGAAGATCAACCAAATCATGGGCAGAAGCAGTAGAACATATAGAGGAAAGGTTTCTGGGACCAGTGGCGCACAAAAGAGAAAGCTGTAGACTCTAATTTCCTAGGCCCTTAAATGATAAAACAATGGGTAGAAAATGTACAGACAGACACTTGCATCCTCCCTGCAGTCCCCACTCCTGCTCTTAACTCCCATGTGCCCACTCCAGCCTCTCCTCATCTTTATATCTAGCTTAAAGCTCAATGTTTCTAGAAAGCCTCTTGGACTAACTCAGATCCTCCCTGATGTTACAGGCCTTTACATATACTCAGCTCTGTAAAAGTTCTCCCTGTCCCCTTGAGCAAGGCTCATAACTTCTTTTGCTCTCTCTTCTTCCCACTCTGGACTTGAAATAAGAGCAGATTGGAAAATGGAGCAGTACTGTAGGTCCCTTGAATCTCATCACCTTCCATCAACCCCCTTCTAACTGCTTAGGTCCCTCTTCCCCTCCAGGTTAGCTCAGTGCTTCAGATTCACAGCTTAGTAAGGCCTAAGCCTTCCCACTCTCCCCTCCACCAGGTTCACGCCTCCTGCAGCATGCCCGGATTTCCCTGGAACATTGTAGTGGATGGGCCTGCCTGGAGGCAGGGAAGGGAGAACTAGAAGTCACTGGGAGAAAACCAGCTGCCTGGTTCCCCTGCGTGTTAGCATCATCCACAAGGCTGGAGCCTCAGCTCTGCAGAGCCCTGTGATCCACACCCTCCCTTCAACTGCTCCCATGGTTTGCCGCTCTTAGTCTTCTCCTCATCCACACTGGAGAATCTGGAAAATCTTTTGCTTTCTCTCCCCAGGACAACTTCCATCTAAGGCTCCCAAAGCTGAGTCGTCATGAGTGTCTCAATCATCCAGGCTTCCTCACAGATTTTTCCTACCAAACACGGTAACTTGAGCTCAATACACATGCACCGGCCAGATGATGTCTGAGAAAAGAAGTCTCAGATACTTTCCCCAGGTCCCTGTTACTCCCCTGTCTGGTACAGATATGGGGTAGGGATAAGTATTAGGGTCCATCAAGAAATCCTGGTGTCTGAGTTTGAAGGGCTCCCTGAAGAAGTACCTGGATCCTCCCTATCCTAAGAACTACAGGATACTGACTCCCTACGGGCAGAGATGTATCAGGGAGGGAAGGTGGAGACTTGGGCCTTACCCTGGGCAGTCTGTGAGCGCACAAAAGTCTTGATGAGTGTGTCTGTGGTCTGTGTGTACAGAGACAGGGCATAGCGCAGGGACTGCAAATCTGGGCTCTTCTCCAGGAAGGTTTTCTTCAGTCCATTGCCTCCAGCATGGAAGTATTGCTGAAAGACAAGAATAACTGCTACTGCCTCACTCCCTTACAGAGAGGCAGTTCCCCAACAATGCCCTCAGGGAAATGACATCTGAGCACAGGCTTGGCAAAGATGCCAGAAGAAGATGAGGAGCCTTTCTACAGACAACAAGATCAGGAATACCACACAGAGCCAGAGTCGTAGTCTCCTGGGTAAAGACTATTATTTAAATATCTGGCAGGAATGATAAGGGATGACCACATTCCTAGATGTGATGTTTGAAGGACTGACCTGTCTGGACAGGCAAAGATAGGGATAGAAGCATTTCAGGCAAAGAGTAGTCAGAAGTCCTACTTTACCCCTTTGAACACTTAGAACACTTTATACCTATAACATACCTCTCCTAAGTGCCCCGAATCACATCTGCCTTATTGCTACCGTACCACATTATAAGAATCTTGATGCTAGGAACCATATCTTACTGTCTCTGCATCCTCCATAGTGCATAGTGCCTGGTACACATGTTGCCTGGTTAAATGAATGAATAAATAATAGGAAAGAAAAATCCTTTGAAAACCCAAAGGACATTACACATAAGTGAAAGAGGTCAGCCAGATCTTGGATATTAGGATCTGGAAGATTAATTCCCAGTAGGAAATATTCAGGAATGACAATGAGGAACTAAGTGAACCAAATTGTCCTCAGAACCCAAGAATAAATGTTCTAGGTTCATGGCAATTCACCTGAGACCACACAGGAGGTACCTTTTCGGTTGCTCCCAAGCAGGAATATGGACATAGCAGAGAAAGAAATGAACACACAAAAAATCACTCTCTTCTGGATGTGGGGTGGCAAGAACCCAAGGGACACCTAATCCAGCAGAGTGGAATGCCAGGACCAAGAGGGTGTGGTAGTAAGATTGTCTGGAGGACGGGGAGGTCTCCACCTTGATGGTGTCCAGGGCAAGGTCAAGGACAGCACACTGCTTTGGAGTGAGACTCCGCGTTTCCTCTCGCACCATGTGGTCCTAGAACCCCAGAGAAAGCAACGCCATCAGGACAGCTTGTGGCTGTCTTGAAAGTCTTGCCCCTACCTGCCAGCCCACAGCTACATGGTTCCTCTCCTTCCCCTCCTCTTCAGTCTCCAAAGTT